TTACCAGTACTGGGTATCGTTGCTTGAAAGAGAAATATTGTTGAATGGGTCTCTCTCTCTCTCTCTCTCTCTCTTTTACACAGACACACAATTGAATTCCATAAACACATCAGTAGGTTTCGAGGCCAAACCTCGCAGAAGCTGTTATGAGTAATGGACATGTCAGTCGATTCCATCGGGAAGATGCTATCGTTTTGATCTAGTGCTCACACAACAATATTGAGAAAAGTAGAAAAAAGACTTCGTGTCTCTGGGAAATTTTTGCAATGTTTCTTGATTTTCTTCGTAGAAATATGTGATTTCAGAGCTTCAGTGATAAAGCACTACATTATGGTACATATGCTAGAACTCTCTCTCTCTCTCTCTCTCTCTCTCTCTCATTGCTATTGAAGGTCACATAAGTTGTATGACCATTGGATCCGTGCGTATAGCAAGTATTAAAAAGAGCAGTCTAAGAGTAGTTAAAACTAACTACTACACTTTTTATATAAGATCTTGGATCTGTTCTGGAACAATTTATCACCTCGGCGTTAATGGTCCACGATGAATCAAAACCGTTCTAGCAATTTATTTGCAGATACTCTCAATGGCCGCCATCGTTTCTGGACAGGATGCTCAAGACGCCTTGTGGCTAAAAAAGGACGTAAAGGCCACCAGCAATTTTTCATTCCTACGCAACAGTACCGCCATTCATAACTATTAGCTGAACCGTTATAGGCCACAATTTTTGTTTTGTATTAGTATTATGATCTTTTATACCATTTGTGTTTGTCTTACACGCTTGCTTTGACTTTAAAACGAAATAGTTTCAATACCAATCGTCGAATGCATTGCTTTGATTCCGAAAATCTTCATGAATGTGATAAAATGCGAAATGTGAATGTTGAAATTTCCTGTAACAAAATAGCAGTTATTGTGTGAAAGGGGCGCGATTTATGATTCAATTAGGCAGTGTGAGATGTCAAGGTCATGCTGCCACCGAGGTCGAAAGCCGTTTTAATGACGAACGCGAAAGGGTACTTTGAGTTAAGTTAGTCTACAGATGTTAATTACCGGCTAATTGATTGTATTGAAATCTAATTTCTGGTATGATTATACAAAACATGTTTGATTTGATTAACCCCTAAGCTCTAAAACAGACTCGGGCACGGACAGGTATAAATTGACTGTTTGGGTGAGGTTTTTTATTATTTGCATCGTTTCAAACATCACATCAAAATTCACATTAAATCACCGTATATGGCTTTAAGAAATTATTCAGTTACCATAATGATGCATCTTTGAATACCTACTATAAAGATATTTCATCTTGAAATTAGATCTTCATAGATGCATCGTTATGATAATTTATTTATATATAAACATCACCAAACAAAAGCTTGCATCGTCAGTTGTACAATGTTTGGTACAGAGGTTTCGGAATATAGGCCTACATGTACATTTATTTAGATGCATACCATAGCATGGCAATAATAATCTAAACAAGAATGTCATGCCAATAAGGAATTTAATTATAATGAATGATGGTAATTTGCGGGTATCAATTAGTTTAGTCGATCTCATTCCATAACAAGTGAACGCATAATTTGCAATTGCGCCTTGACGTATGCATAAATGTTATTTACTGTCCTCGTTCCAGAAAAAAATCCCCATTGTCCTTATTTCCCCCTGAAATAATCGATCGCCACAGCGGGTCAACCCCGTTAGATACGTACATGAATCAATCCACTCGCCATAGTTCCTTGAGCAATACAATCATTTTGCTAAGATTGAGATTTGATTCCCTTTTGATACAGTGTATTATTGAAAAATAAAAAGAAATAAGGGAGACATTCAATTCGTCAAAGACACTGTCAGAAAAACCGAGCAATAACAGCGTCAGTATCTGCGGTAAGAAAATGCGATAAGTTAGTGCTGCTTAAGTGATCGTGTTTGTTTGAAATCATTTATAGGTGTCATCCCCAGGATTTTCGTTTTAAATCGGATTTTAGTCCAAAAAAAAAGCAATTTTCTCCTACTTGCGAATCATTACTCGACCTTTACGTCCTTGCATTTGGATTTGATTGATTTTATACCATCTAAAGTTGAATGATTTAGTTCTAAATGACCGACCAGCTACTTAGATCGCCATTTCTGTTTGTACATTTTTAAAGAAAATATCGACATCCGGCACTTTTATATTGTGGAATTTTATCGTTTTTTAAGGTCGGAATTGTGGAATGATAAGTGCATGTAGCTTTGTATTTTGACATAAAAATATGATTTTGAAACGGGGACAATATACCTTTGATTGTTGTAGACATGGAAGAACAACACAGTGTAGTCCGAAGGGTCTGTTTTCTATATACCTCAATTTGCCCAATGGTTATTTCTGATTCACACAGTGGAGACACTCCGCACAGTCTCTTGAGAATGAAAAAAAAATCTGAGGCGGCGTCCTTAACTAATGATGTTTTAAAGGGCTTAATCCATAATTGATATTTGGAGACAGCACGAGGATGTAATAGCCACGCTCGGGAGTCGCAGGAGATGGAAGTACGCCGGAAATTACAGAGAATTGAGTAAAATTACTTAAGGTTTCGTGTTTGCTTGTGTGTCTTTGGGTGTGAGGCATAAGTCTTTATACACAAATTTATACATCTCATTTTAATTTATGCACATTTTGCATCAGCTATGTATTCCATGGATTATTCGTTGTCTGTATTGTTGTCATGCCAGGTCCCTCCCATGTTTCAATTTTCACCGTACAATCCCTATAAGACATGCCTGTAGCCATAAAGCGATCATTAAAGACGAAAAAGAAGAAAAAAGCTCCTTGTTTTTGTTGCAGTGCCATTTCTTACAAGGTATTGCGTATCTTTACCTGGAAGCCTTTTTAAGATCTGCTAAAGTAGGTGTCTTTATAGTTATATATGGAGGTGCTGATTGAGGTAGATTCTTATGGAATTAAGAGACGTTGCCAAGGAGACAGCCGTGGCAGAATGTTAAGGCTACGGTGAGCAGAGTCACTTACTTGTGAACAAGGAATCGATAAGAAGTATATACCTGCAGCATTGGTCAAGGTGGGAAGGAACTAGTTATCGAGTGAGGACGAAAAGGTGATCGCTTTCACCCTATTGACCACTTACGCGAACACTGGTGTGGGGGACGTGCGTTGGGAACTCCTACACCGTTCGCCATTCATGACGTTATTAGATTAAAATAAGAAAACGGTATTATCTAACGGATTATAAACATGGTCTGTGTACCTTCGTTGATGCCATTTCAAATACCAAGGCGCACGAGTGTTCTTATTCTACGTGGATGAACATAGAGCAAACATGGAACCGATTCGAAGGACGTTTTCTGTGTCTACGCCGGTCAATGTAACGGCGAGGAGATTACTTTTTCACAGGTCAAAGCACAATTCTTTGGAAAAAAACTTGCTCGGAAATACGAAGTACCCACTATTGCGAACACAAAGGTAGCCAAACCGTTCGCAGAATGTTGCTGTATTTTTGCTAAGTTTGGCTCTGTGATAGTAACGTAATATATTTCTACGATGAGATAACAGTTCGGTGTGTTTTGTGTAAATACATGTATGTTGAATGGAATACCTTGTGAGTGAGAAAGATTTAATCTCTTAAGGAACGATCTACTTTTTCGCCATATATGTGTTTCGTGTTGTTATTTAGCATTTGTGAATTTGTTACGTGATCTAGCCAAGCATAGGGAGAAGAAAAAGATTATTGTGTTCTGATGTAGGAAAAAAACTTAACTTATATAACCAGATACGACATAATGTAAATTAGGTCTACATGGCCTTCGCAAAATTATCCCACATAGGTATAACTTTCATTTAAATGTCTTCCTGAGCATTCTCACATTATGATGAATATTAATTAGAGGCGGGTTGTTTGAGTACTTAATATTTGGATATTTCAATTGTTAAGTAGCATAAATTAAATTATATTTGCAGTTTAATAATAATAATAATAATAATAATATTTATTTCTTAAAACCGCACTACACTAGCGTCTCAGTGCTGTTTACAGGTAAAACTATTAGGATTACAACTTATTATATATATAATAAAAGCTAAGGTAAAAAAAAAAAAACAATTAAAATAATTAAAACTGGTTAAAATAGTAATGGTCTGAACAATAAAACTTTTTTTCTGATAAAATGAGAAGATATTAATTAAAATACTGTGCAAATAAGAATGTTTTTAAATCTTTTTTAAAAACCTCAACACTGTCAATAGTCCGAATGTGTGAGGGTAATTGATTCCATAAAATTGGTGCTGAAATTGAAAATGCCCTGTGGCCGTAGGTTTTGGTTGTTTTTTTATTATCATTTCTGATAAAACAAGGAGTGGAGGTGGATCTGGTAGACCTGGTGAGACTGGGTGTACTTGGATGTAGCATCGAGTTAAAATATGAGGGGCATTCACCTCTAGTGAATTTAAAAACAAACAACAGTAATTTAAAAACAATTCTCTGTCGTACAGGAAGCCAATGTAGTTCGAATAAAATGGGTGAAATGTTTGATCTGAGAGGGATTTTGGTCAGTAGTCGTGCTGCAGCATTTTGGACAGATTGCAATTTTTCAATTTGATAGGTAGGAAGACCATACAGTAGACTGTTTCCGTAGTCAAGATGTGAAGTTATAAAGGCATGGACAAGCCTCTCCATTTGACTTTTATCAAGGATGTGGGATAGTTTGGAAATTTTTTTAAGACCATAGAAAGCGGCTTTGCATTTTTTGCTGATGTCGGCAGCCATATCGCACCTATTATCAAAAATTACTCCAAGGTTCTTAACCTCATCTTTTAATGTTTACCTTTGTTGATTCAACGGTAATGGGCTAAAGTACTTGAGTGCGTTTTAAGTTGCACTATATTTATTATACAGATAAATACAAATATATGTATATCAGACAGGTGATGTGCGTTTGAAGTATTCTTTGTGAATATTGTTACATGTGTTAGATCGTAAGTAAGTGATTTATTTTCATTTCAGTTCTCCTGCTTCGGATTTGGCCGCCAGGCGGGGCATGTTCAGTAGAAAACATTATGGATCAGTAGAACTAGTAAGTCTCTCGCTTTCTCTCTCTCTTTCTCTCTCTCTCGTATAAACACTTGCAGTTTTTTTTTCTAAGACAGCTAAGGTATTGCCTTCATTTCTGTAAGTAAGTAAGTATCTCTCTCTCAACTTTATCCTTAGAACGGTTCCATTAAGCCTCTGGCGTTGTCTTAGACAATAATCACACGGATCAAGTCAATCTTAGCACCACACGTAACGATGCACCGCTGCGAAATGACTTATACATTTACTTGTTTACATTCTCTCAATAATCGTTCTGAATCCCCATTCCCAAAGAAAGTACATATAAGTTTTGTTCATAATTTTAGCTCACCTCAAGTGAAAGTGAAGGGACCATCCACACTGCCGCGGGAAGATTCAGAATTGAGACTGGGGAGTTTGAACACGATGAGGTAAGCTTTAGATTAGAAAATAATTGACGTCATGTGTAAGCGCTGTTGTTCGTTTATACTACATGTTGTAGATATCAGACTTCTATAACAGTTCCTGTATTATAATTATAAATAGGTTGTATTATAATTATTACAATTCTATAGTATGTAGTGGCATGGGTGCTTCTGTTTGCTTGTGTATGTAAAACTGTTTAGAGAAGAACTCGGTTATTTCCATGTTAACTCCGCAACCAGCCAAACCCATTCTTTCTACATATATGAAAGAAACACAAGACCGAAATCGATAATACTCACATACGTACGTCTTCTGTGCAATTAAAAGGTACTAGAACATGTACAGATCCACTCACATAAAACACATCATAAACATACTTAATAGTCGATATATCGTTGCTATGCAGTATATGGAAGCAACTCTTGATTCGGTGATTTGTATGTATATAATGGAAGTATATGTGGGATACTTGCATTGCATTGTGTCGCTTATTCCGGCTAACCTGACATGGACATACGAATATGACGTTAGTACATTCATATAATATACATTTTTTGCGATAGTTTCAAGGCCAAAAAGAAGTGCTTTTTTCAATCTCAGACCAAAATTTTGTCTTTGTATATGTATAATCTCCACTCTGCATCGAAATACACAATGGTACTTACCCTATTTTACTCTAATACCAGAATTCCATTTTAAGTTTGGTGAATTATGGACTGTTGTCTAAATACGTTGAACCTATCTGTACGGTGTGACTTACGTGGGTTGAATAAACCGTCTCATCGTACATTGGCACGTCTTTGAAAAAAAGGCCAATGACGTCACGCGTGCGCCCACCTGCGGACTCTCTCGATTGTGTGAAAATAAAACGCCAAGTGTGTAATCATCGGTAAAAAAGATTACATGGGCAATTTACATGTACCGTTTTAACCTTTTTGTGCTTCCTTTGCAGTCGGTGTCTTACTTAAGATCTTACTTAAGAAGCCTTTTAGAGAGTGCGTGGCGTCCAAACTGTGGTTTAATTGTGTTTTCAATTATCACGTCGTGACTACACGGACCACATTATGTCTCCCACCGTTTTTCACAGGAATTTGTCTCATTACCAGCCCAACTCTATATACCATGATCTTATTCTAAGACACATCATGCTTTATTTTAAAAACCTTTCACACTGTTTTGGTAACTATGCTCACCTGGTTCTTTGGGAGATACATTGCACATAAACTGTTTTTAGTCTTCAAGCAGGTTGATCATGTTTTTTTTTAAATCTTTCAATTGTATTCATTTTGTATACCCAATATTATGATTGTTCATTCAATAAAGTATCAGTTTTGACAGGTTTCAAATGAACTGTTGTTTTGCTTTTTAATTTTGAAAAAAAAAACAGTCTTCTTAAAAATTAGTTTATTTTACTTTATTTTATCTTATTTTATTTTAATTATTGCCAGTTTCCGAGCCCGCTTGGGAGTCCTGTCCATGTGGAAAACCCAGAATACCAGACCAGATGGTACTTCAAGTATTTTCTTGGGAAAAGTAAGTGAAAGAAACCCTTTTAAAATATTAACGTCTGAAAGGAACCAATAGAAATGGAACCAAGACATGCAACAGGACAGAATACAACAGTATGACAATTTGAGATAAGTAGATTAAAATTTATCAACATACGATATAAATCCTATAATGTAATATAAAAAACATGTCGCTTGTTAACATGTTATATTTATGTACAGTGACTTTATATCACACCAATAGAAATAGTTATACTGCGGTCGTCTGCGCATACTCAGTTTCCTTCCTAATGAATGGATATAATTCCTTAATCACTAAAGTGCTGTAACGTATGACGCTATAATAAACAAATGAATGAAATAAAGCTAGTTATTCATGGTTGAGCGTGACATTAGCACGACTCTTAAACGGGTTAATAGACCACTTAAGAGACACTTCAAGCCCTTGTGTATTTCCTTAAGTGAGCGGATACACGTTTACGCGATATGGCTAATGTCGCTGCTGAAACTCAGAAAGCTAAACTTTTAAGTTTTAAAAATACAGCAGGTTTAATTTTGAAAAAAGGTATCAATTTATTTATTTTATGTTGCTATCTAGTTATCTGTCGATCTGTCTGTCTGTCTGTCTATGAATGTTTTGATTGATTGTTTAATTACACATTTTGTTTATTGTATTTTAGTGCATCAGAACTATGTAGGTCTTGACGCAGACAAAGAACCGTTCATTCTCTCAGTAGTGGTGACGGATGCAAACAACCACAATGTGCCGCAATACAGAGCAATACTGTGGAGGAAACAGGTACAGTATCAAGATATTGTCCAAAATATATATTTATCCATGATAAACAAGCATTAATTGATCTAGTGTGTGTGCGCGCGCGCCTGCAAAATAACATTTCGAAACAGTCCCCTTCCTTTCCAAACCAACATGTCGTATACCTGTATGAAATGAATATAATTTTATAATTGTCACATATATGTATCTGAATGTATTGTTCGTAATAGAGGTTATTCACCGCTCTTTCAATTTGATCCACATTTCAGTCTTATATAATGTCAGCAACATTCTCTACTTAGAACAAATCAATGACTCTGACAAAGACAGCGACTCGACGATAATTTTTCACTTGGATTGGTTCACTTTTGTCCTCTCACGCTGCTGAACATGACACTCTACCTTCCCCATTCGTGCTATTCTCCATTCCTTCCCATCCGAGATTCCAGCATTAGCAATGGGAATTGATGTTACGATATCGATTTTTCTTTTTTTCCTGTAGGGCGCGCGGAAGATTTGCCTTCCATACGACCCTACAAAACCAAAGACTGTCAAGGGTATTTTAGGGTTAGTACCAAACGATTTAACAAACTTTTGTATTTGACAAAGTATCATATGCACTTTTAATTAAGGAGATGTTTGCCTTTTAAACATATTGACTTTGTGTCATATGCCATTTCTTGAGATAAAACAGAACCCATGGAAAAATTTATGCGGACGTATTCTTTATTGGATACAAATAAACAAACTAAAAAAGGACACACACATACACACACAATATATATATATATGTATATTATCACCAGATTTCAAGTATTAAATTATACAGTCTTGTTGCAAGAAAATTAAATTGACTGATTTGTATAAAAGACAAAGAGTTTTTATTCATTTAGAGAAAAAATGGTCTAAACTAAAGGTTCGTTTTTTTTTCGTCATTCAGACATTTTGACATGCCAAAGGTAGAAAAAGGACCCAGGGAAATATATAATGCAGAAGTGCAGAAAGAACTCCTGGTACTTGAGGAACAAGAGGTACGCGAATATTTAATTTAGCCTCCCTTACAGGCTAACATTACATACAGTTAATATACATCGCCTGTGATTTACAAACGATTATTTTGTATATATTGTATCTGGGAACCAGGACCAACAAACCACAATTCTAAACGGCATTTCTACTTGTGATGCATTGTTTCTTATACACATAAAATGAACTGGCTACTAGAGAGCAAGCGCACTAGTCAAAGTACCAATATGCACATGGTCTCGCAACAATTAAAGTAAAATACACCTTTGGAGTTTTAACTTAAGAGTACCGGGATGTACACAGTCCCTTATCAATGGACTGCCAAAGTGTACTTGTAGTAATTGAGTTAGAGTTAACGTGAAGTTCAAAACTAACACGCGCCTAGGTTTTGGAAATATAATTTAAGGTACCGGTGTTTATACCAAAGTTAGCGGAATACCCTTCTCTAACTTCATTGCAAAAAGAATCGGATATGTTTTAATCAAAAGGCGGCTTTGGGTGAATCAAGGATTCGAGTTTGTCCATGGGAATATTAAATTGAAATTGTTAGACTACAGCTTCCAAATATGAAAGCAACCTGACTTGCATTTGGGGTATTAGGATCATTAGTTTTTACCATTAAGAACTGATGTGCATGTACCCGGTAGCCTTCTTTGATGATACATATACATATACATTGCGCATGTATATGTATATCACAATAGCTCCTAGTTGCCGTTTCGTTATAAGACTCAACTTTCACTCACAATATGGAAAAAAATTTGAACATTTCAAGTGTTTTTATTCCAGGGGTCTGTGAATTTCAAGTTTGGAGTAACGTACTGTATAGAAGGGCAGATATCGGACGATGAGATGTACGGGAATGGTAAGTTATAAATTGAAATTACATGAAGTACGGATCTTAGGCTGAGAAAAGTGCTTTGGAGCTAGGCTGTTAAAGACCTATACTGTAGACGCGAGCAAGTTATTTTACCCTTTGTGGTATTCTCTTAGACGTCTAGACGCTAACTGGAGGGAAAGTACAAGGAACTTCTGAGAGACCTCTGTTCAACTTGGAGAAAAAATAGGCTAATCCCTAGTAACGATCCCTTGAAATTATTTCTCAGAATTCTAGGGGTGCAGCCCCGGCAGTCAATGTCCCTGGATTAATGGTGCGGCTGTCATCAGCGCCTAACCTCAGTCTGCGTGATCCTTTGTAATTCTAAAAAGCACACAGAATACCATCGGATCCGCTTTCAGTGATGCGTGTGAAAACTCCGGCTTTCGCAGCGAACACAATGCAGATCCATTATACTTTACTTGGCACAAGAGCTGGTTTAGCTAAATTATATAAGTCCAAAGTTAGCGTCAACCTTAAGCGTGGCACCCCTGGGTAAAATGAAAAGTTTGCAGCAAATATGCATTAAGTTTGCTGCAAGCTAAAAGTTCGCAGCAAGGGGTTTGACGGAGTTTGCAAGAAAATATGTTTTGCAGCTAGTTTGCTACAAGTTTGCATGAACATCTATATTTTGCGGCAGGTTTGCACAAGAGTCTTTATATGAATTCTTGCAAATCTCCAGCAAATTTGCAAGAAAATAAAATTCCTTCTTGCAAATTTGCATAAAATTTGCGGGAGAGTGATGTTTTGATAAGAAATGTAGATGTTGATAAGGCCTGATATTTTGCTTACAAATGTTAGTTTGTGTTGAACCAAGATAAATCTACGGAAGCCGACTGGTGTCATGTTAAAAAAATTATTATCTTGAAATTTCGAGATAATATTTTTCCAAATTTCGAGATACGACCTCGAAATTTCGAGATAATATATTTTTTGTCCAAATTTCAAAATACTACCTCGACATGTCGAGCTAATTACTTTTTTAACATAACACCAGTCGGCTTTTTTATAAACCAGTAGTATTTCACTGGGATTTGAAAATACATTTAGCCCGATTTACAGAAAGTGGTTGATGTCGGCACACAGTTACTGCATTTAAGCGCTCTATTGTGCATTTTTCCTGAATTTGGGTAATTTAACGTAATTGTGCGTAGGGGTTTGAGGCTGGTTGGTTATTAACTATTGACTGAGTGATCTGTACAATCACTTTCAAAGTTGCTGGATGTTTATAAAAGGTGACATTTCTGATCAACGCTCACCGGAAGCCGTTCGTATTTTTGTGGGCTCACACTTCTATCCTACGCCTTACTGTGGCTAACACGTAACGCCCTCTGTGACCACTGACGCACGAACAAGAAGAAATAAATTTGATTAATAACCATGTCGAATGTGGAGTTTCCGTTAAGATGTGTCCTTTACTACACAAACAATGGAGTTAAGTGTACTGTGTGGAAGAAAGACAAAGTACCAGAATTATCAATCTTCTGAACGTATACATGTACATGTACTTCTGTCTAGAAGGTTTAACCCCCTTGTACTTTTAGTCAGGCTTTTAAACTGCCAATCTCTCAACACGTACCGGTCGCTGAACTTCGCCACTCATTGTGAAAAGGTGTCTAAGATATGTGTCCTTTATTAAACTTAAGAATCGATATGTTATGCACGGTCTTAAAATTATGTGGCTTGGATTTGTTAAGTGCATTCGTCCTTAATAGTAGGGCAGCAATAAATGCCATACAGGTGAGTGTCAAGTGAAATATACATTTCGCTATATTTTTTATTTTATTCTACTCTATTTTATTTTCAGAAAAGGGCAGCTCCTCTTTTGACAAGTTCATCCATCTTCTAGGAGATAGAATAAAACTTAAAGGCTGGGATCGCTTCAAAGGAGGACTGGATGTGAAAAGTAACGTTTAAGATTTATAAACTCACTGAACATATCATATTCTCCTATTCTAGACTAGTGTTTGTGTGTGCGTGTCTGTGTGTGTGCACACTAGCAAGTGCGCGTTTGTGTGGGTGTGAGAGAGAGAGAGAGAGGGGGGTAGGGGGAAATCATTACTGTACAGATAAATACAGTGCATATGTGCAAATGTATATGGGAACAAAACAAAAATAAAATAAAAATGAGTGAATGTTGTTAGTCATCCTGTAGAAAAGGAATGATAAATATCAGAGTTATTCATACATGTGTACATGTATTTATCAAGCCTTAAGATGCTCAGTAAAACGAGTACTGGTACCTTTCACAGACAGCATTATCCATTTAAGTGCTGGTGCAAAGGGCCTACTCCCGTGCTCTCTATTTACAAGATAGACTAATTGAAGTCCATTTATTTAGCATCATAGACGAGCAATAACTGGGGTTCGGAGTTTACAAAACCAAACAATAATGTAGATGTAATATACTAGTATCTCATTACATCCTATATGTTATACAATTTTGATTGATGTATTTCAGGTAATAGCACAGGTGATGATTCCGTCTATACCGTGTACGAGGGACACGAAATAATGTTCCACGTCTCCTCTCTGTTACCATACTCCACGGACAATAAACAACAGGTACGTACAGAGGACTACTGGGAGGTGGCTGATCTTGAACAAAAATGGCGATCCCACCTACTATTACCCACCAACTAGAAAAATACTCGCTGAGCCAGAGTCATTTTTTGATATATTGCATTGTTTTTCAAAAGCAAAATCACAACGGGGAGGGGCGGCACAGTGTAGTTTTGTAACGTTGTGGAGAGCACAGTGTATGACAGTTTTTGTTTTACTGAGTACTGGTAATCAAACTACTTACACCAAGTGTAATGATATACTGGATGCTGACAAATGCCACCTCTTGTCGTGATTGTTGCTAGCGTCATTAGATCATCAGTTTAAAGCATTTAATCTGGGTCAGAGATTTTGATTTTTCTAAATTTTTATTTGTTTTTGGTGAGGATCGTGATTGTGCTCGATCCACGCCACATATTAAAAAGAAAATGAGAATAAAATAAAAGCATAAAATTTTTTACGCATGATTGTGATCAAATGTGTGTGTACATGCACTGGTATGTGTGTGTGTGTGTGTGTGTGTGTGTGTGTGTGTGTAGGGGACATTGGGACAGAGCGAGAGTCAGAAAGATAGGTCATAAAGGACCTCAACTCCCGTACTTAAAACACACCATGACACACTACATGTATAAACGTTTAATCAGCTTCAGTCACCACCAACAAGAATGCTTTCTTTCTTTCCAGGTGGAGAGAAAGCGACATATAGGCAATGACATAGTCAATATAATCTACGTGGAAATGAATTCAGACCAGCAACCGTCATTTAGGCCTTCTATGATGAAGACACACTTCACTCGTATCCTTTAAATCACACGATAAAATAATTCCTTCAAAAGTTTGTTATGTCTCACGAGCCTTGGTGCCTGTCATTTGACCAAGTTTTCCCGCAATATCTTGGGCGGTTGAAACCCATATTCATAATTCCTCTACACGTATCTCCTCGGCAGTTCATGGTGCGACTTTGCCAGTGGAGTATATATATATATATATATATATATATATATATATATATATATATATATATATATATATATATATATTGCCCTGTCTAGCAGTTAGAATATATTGTTATTGAGCAGTGGAAATATATTCCATTTAAACAATACATAATTTGTGGAGTGTTTCAGCAGATAAACGATTGTCGTATTTGAATGGCATTTATAATTCAGTGTAGAAATAATGGAATAATGAGACTTAACAGCCCAGAAAAATAGATCTCTAGTCTCGGAACGCATATTTATCAATATTTTAAAGCATTTACAAGATATCGAAAATTCAGCCATTCGAATATTGAATACACACAAAAGATGTGAAAAAATACTTTCTTAACTGCTGCCTCAGATATATACGCATTGGTAGTTTATGAGAAGGATACAGATAAATACAGGTAAGTTTACAATACGAATGCACATATATTTCCTAAAAGAATTGATATTTCCTAAAAAAAAATTGATATAAGTATATTGTGATCGCCTAAAGTGATGCAACAATTGGCATGTAAGCATAAACAGGAGAGACAAAATTATCTTCCAGAACATAAAAGAGATTACATTTTGTGATAACTGTTATAATTTCTTTCAGGTTAAACGTGTATTCCGCCGAAAGCGTCCCGTTATTTGGCCCTCCTCTACCCACGCCCGCCGTTTTTGCCGACCACGCAGAATTCAGGGACTTTTTGCTAGTGAAATGTAAGATAAAGTCCTTCAGTCCCGATAACGAACACTTTAAATATTTTATTATTTTGAAATTATTCGAATCATCAAAGGTTTTGAATCCAGACATTGATTTAAGACATTGATACACGTCCGTTTCCTTAAACGTCTTGTTCATGTGTTTACAAGTCCATAAAGCTCTTAATGGAGAGACTGCTTGCTCTTGCTAAATACTTATGGACGTTTTTTTCTAGGTATAAATGGAGAAAAGGCCGCCCTATGTACGCCGGTGTTCGCCCAGAAGAGAGTGCGTACCCTGGACATGTTGATCAGAAATACCTACGACAATCACATGGTGGAGGTCAACAAGGTATGACACGTTCACTTGACTGGCACAGGTCCGCAGGTGGAGGGATCGAAACAACCCCCTTTTGGCGAGGAATGGTCTTGTTTACTCTGTTTCATGATTAGATCGATATTCTATGCCAAATCTCAAGTGGAACCATCTTTAAGGGTTAAAATGTTCAAGGGCTAAAAAGCCCTTTGAAAAAAGCGGCTACAGGACTGTGACAGAAATGTCACCTACTGGCGGATCCGTGGTTTTGCCCACGAGCAAAATGATATAAATTTGTCCTGCTTTATAAATGAAAAAACGTAGGTTTTGTTGACTGAAATGTGTAAGACACCACTGAAAAACGCTTGACTTTGCTTGTTGCCTTTTTTGCATGTAAACATTGATTAAGAAATATGTCTTAGAGCATAATAACATAATTGCAATTGGAAAACGTTTTCTTTTTAGAAATTGCAAGCACAGCAGAACAGTTTATTTAAGAAATAGAAATTGAAAAGCATATCTTCCTCAAAAAAAAAAAAAGCACATCGATATCAAATCGCATTTTGAGAGATCGTTCCATACATGCATAATCTCTCCAACTAATGGCAAAAAACAGACATAGCTGTTTTTAGGCCTTTATCCTAAGTGATAAGATTAACTCTGTCCTTTTAAGCAATAATGTATCAGCACCGTGGCAATTATGGTGTCTCAGAGTTCCATATTCCCCCAGCGCTCTGGGGCTATATATTGAAGTTTAGCGTGTCACTTCTCTTTACCTGAATACTGCGCACTCCTATAAGCCATGCAATAATATGGCGATCGATGGAATGCAACAGCCATTATGGCTTGCACTGAATTAGCCTATAAATGTTAATTGTGAGTGCCTGGCTGTGTTCTGTCGGTTAGCCGCAGACAATCGGAGGGAGATTTGCGCCCACGTACAGTGCAGTAGCACTAACGTCCGCCATGACGCATTATAAGTTGTGTCCGCAAATAACCATACCGTATTACGCGTTTAAAAATTGATTGACTGTGTAGTCGGTGATTGCAGAGACTCAGATGAATCAGTGCCATAAGCGCTCTTCAGTATGAGATTTAGAATACGAACTTTGCCAAAATTAACGTATATATTTGAAATTAATAAAGTTAACATGTTATATGTAATTTGAACTACATGTACTTTGTACTCGATGCGACAGTATCATTTATGCACATCTTTTGAAAAGTAAGATATTAAGCCATCGTTATGCTAATTAATAATCACCATGGGTGATTATTTAATAGGAGGGTGGTTAACGCACGTGGATAATATTATATTAAAATACAGAGTAATCAGTTAATGTTGCCAGTTCCCACATAAAAAGAGCGCTCTACTTTAAATATCAACGATAAGGTGTTTTATCGTATCTTTTAAATAAGGTACAACTGGCGTACATTTTGTGTACACGTACTGAGTAAAAAAAGATGAGTAGCAAATACATGTGCCAATACAAGTACATTGCTCGTTCAATACCTTCGAAGGCGTAAGTTGGATGTTCGTAAGTTGGATCCGAGTCAGTACGCGTTTTTTTTCTTTTAAGCAACCTGATTTCTGTAATTTCAGAACACGATGTTGAACCGCAGAGCATTCAGTGACGTCATACCGGATTACCAGCATGGGTCACGGCGGAAAGAAGAGGCGCGGAAATTGGAGTTCGTTCGTGTTGGTCAGGCCCTAAAACTAAATATTATACTGAAGGGGGACGCCCCCACCAGCCTCATCACCACCGGGATGTTGAAAAGAGAGGTATTTTTGTCATCTTTTCTCTTTGAAGGATCTCTCCCTTCTCTCTCTCTCTTTCTCTCGATCTCTCGATCTTTCTCTCGATCTCTCCTGCGAATAAAGGACTTTTATTACTGTTTACAGTGGCGTTTTCGTTGTTTCGAATCCTTTAAAAACAGATATATACTCCAATCAATTTGACCGCCTAATACAAATGTGCGATTTACACCAAATACCTGAAGGTAAAGCCACAGTGCCAGAACATTCACTTTTGTATAATTTAGTCATCGCCGTTAGTGTATTGAAAATGCGCCCCCCCCCCCAACACAAACACTTTTTATTCCCACAAATCATTTCATCACAGACGCATTGTGTTTGTCTGTCATTTGATACAATGCTTTTAAATATGCATGCGTTCTGTATCCAAATCCTTTGTCTGACTGGAAAATCTTTTTTTATTTTGTCATGTTATTATTCTTTCTTTGCAGCCATGGGAGCCGCAGTGTTTTTACCACAGCTTTCCAAATGAGATCATATGTGGGGATTCGTGGGGTTAGTAAACACGAACACTTAGCAATCAGTCTGCCACTTAAAGGACACAAACATTCTTCATTTTACACGCGAACACATGAAAATGATTCCATTAGTCGATTACGTAAAGCTGTGCTTCATCGTATTTCTCTTCGAATTCAAACAAGGTAGCTTTGAATTAATGTGAATCATGTCCCTACAAAACAAAGTTGTGGTTGAAATTCACTAGACTTGGTTATATATTTGAACGAAATGGGAACTTTGACTGTTATACACGGTGTTACTTCATTTTTGTCAGTGTTCTTCATATGATAGGACCATTTTGTTGCAGGTGACAAACTCATCATTGTAACGGAAGTGGGAACAATGGTTATTGAAGGTAAGTTGAACCAAAAAGTTTAGCAATCCTTAATTATTTGTTTTGGCATATCGTATCGCAAAATAGGTTAATGTAGAGAAGTTTGGATTCGTTAAATGGATATGGTTGTTGCGACGTTCGTTGCTGACGGACTAAAAATCAATTTTCCGTTATCAAGCCTCATAAACGAAACTGCTGTTTTTGAGCCGGAGCACGTTTTTTTTATTGCGATCACCGACTAAACGACTAAAATTGCGATTTTATGACGCGATCGTAAGAACGGTGGTTGCAAATCAAATCCTTAATAAAGACACTCATAAAGAGTGTAACCCGCTGGAGTATTCCTGTAATTTTGACATCGCTTAATTGCTAAAAAGATTGGGGGATATTACTGGTATGTTGTCAACAAATGATTTTTTATGCATTAAGGGAGATTGTACATCAATAATAATAGTATTTGGAAATGTAATTTCAGATATATAAAGCTACACGCTTTTGTTTTATTCTTGATTTTAAAATTTGACTTGATTTAACATCATTGTCTAATTTTTTTATAGAGGGCTGTATTCCAAGGCTTATATTTGATCGAACGGTCAGCATTAAGCAAATTGATGTCGTAGAGCCTCATGGGTTAATCATTTTCCGGCCAGAGAAAGGTACGTTCTTTTTTAAAGCTAATACTCTAAATTTTACAAGTTTCAGGTCATTTCTTAAAAGGGTTTCAGCATCTGTGTTATTGACTCAATTGAACGCTAGGGCGCGTGCACGCACACATACTTAGTCTATATACTGTTGTGTTTTACAGGAAAAGATTCCAAGATACACGTCTTTCGCCTAGCAGACTTTGAAGGTCGAACCAACAGTATTGTCAGAACCAAACTCGATTCACGAGATCACAAAATTGAGAGATCAAAAGGTAAGTCATGTCATGTAATTTATGATGAGATAAATGGTGACATGCATCGAAACATTTTGTTTGAAACACACAGCTATCGCCCAACATGTTCCAATCTTTCATTTTTGAGAGAAGCATGAAACATTACCAGATTTATTAAAATGCTGATGCTGGCCTCTTTTTGGTATAGAGCCATCACAGTGTGATCCCGGTGACGCCCCTTTTCCACGATGACAGGCAAAAAATACTCATATGGCCACTGCAAACATTGGTCAAATATGTTTTCAATACTGCACATTATTAGGTGGGGTAAAAGTGAAATACCATAATATTGAAGCAACAAATTTTATGTCGGTTACACTAGGTAGTGCAATGTATAGCTAGTACTCAATGTGGACCTAACCGGAAAAAATATGAATAAGTAATTTGCTTTGTATGAAAATTCCCATATGCATCATGTGATATCTGCTTAATTATTTGCTGTCATGATCCATCATGCAAAACGTTCCTTGCCAAACGGAGGGGAAATCTGTGCGGAATAGTAAATAGTGGGTCTAAAAATAACGGAATACACGCCAAATAATTCAATGTCAACGTACTCAAACATTTTTTCCCTTCAGGGTGCCATCTGTACGCCTTAAGCCGGCCTGGGGGCAGTCATCTCCGGATGGTTATAGCCATAGGCAAGCGTCTGTTGGTGATGTCATGGAAGCATTCCGCCGCCTGGTCTGCATGGTGTGTGAGCAATGATACGGAGACCGTGGACGGATTTCAGTTTCTCAGGGTACGAATGGTTTTAAACCTTTGTTATTGCTTCTGTTTCAATTGCTGTACACTGCCGACAGAAAGTTAGTTTTCATTGGTAACCGTCAAGGGATTACATGCTAAATTTATCAACCCCTTTGTCCATGCGCTATATTTGAACTGTTAGAACTGTCTTTAATTTCGTCTAGATCATAAAAAGGTTTTTCAATTCCAGTTTGCTTTCTGTTGTTCATAGTAATTTTACTGGATACCGTTTCTTCTTTTTCTTCTTCTTATTGTGATTATTATTATCTAGGAATTGCAGTCATACGAGACGCCGGAACTTATCACGTTGATAGACGGACCTAGGGGAGACAACCAGATATGTGTTGGTTACAAGCATCAATATGATCTCATCAATGAAAAAAATGGTGACACACTGCATTTGCATCATGTGGACGCAAGCAAGGTAAGAACTAAGCATTTGGAGTTTTTTTTATAATAATTATTATTATTTTTAGTTACCTCAAGCACAGAAATCTGAAAGTTAAGGCTCGATTACCACGCCGTGAAGGCGAAAGTCACACAAATGAGGGTTGAGTCATGTCAGCCAGTTTCGATATTTCATTATTTACGATAACGTCTAGCGTCCCTGAGCCAAAGAACTTTTAAATATCAGGACATGCAGATTGTGGCGAGATTGTGTAAACACGTGTTTTTCATTCAAGGCGGGTTTTTAGTGACAAGTTCGTAACTGGATATCGAAAATGATAAAAAACGAGTATTTTATTTCCAGGTGAAACTCGTGTCAGCAATAGACATATATGAGGATTCCGAGGCAGAGCTTCTGCTCTGTTACAATCGTAAGTTTTTTTTTTTTTTTTTTTTTTTTTTGTTCTGCACATCATACATGTAACCAAATTAAGACAGCCATGTAATCGGGCACATAATGCATCATTATTATTCATATGATGGGACCTCATGTGAAGATGTATTTAATTCAAAGCAATATCCAATACAATCCAATAAGCCAAACCAGATATACATACATTATAAACTTATTCTTATTACACCACTTTAAGCAGTAAAAATATACACGATTAATATTGGAGGTATATGAGTACATGTTATATGTTATATTATATTACTCTACGGTGTAATTAGAATCACATTACAAAATGATTTCATGTTATGTTTGCCAGAGAAATGTTATGTCTTATTATGTTTAAAAACACACTGACAGACAGTGTTTTAGTGTCTCTTACCTGTTGAATTTTTTTCCCAGATGTCTGTCATTTTCAAAAGCTGACGGAGGATAACTCCAATGAGTTTGATTTTCTGTGGAATTCTCAGCCGTGCTCAATAGGTAACCACTTGATATATATTTCCATTAAACTACTTGTTCCTAACTTATTAAATCAAACTAAACTAACTTATTATAGTTTTCCATATATACAGGCCCTCACGTAACATTACTATATATTTTATGTATGTGCATTCCCATACATACTGGCAATCTCAGAACATTTCCATATATTTTCAGTATGTGCATTCCCATACATTCTGGCCCTCACATAACATTACTATATATTTTCAGTATGTGCATTCCCATACATTCTGGCCCTCACATAACATTACTATATATTTTCAGTATGTGCATTCCCATACATTCTGGCCCTCACATAACATTACTATATATTTTCAGTATGTGCATTCCCATACATTCTGGCCCTCACCCCAGACACAATGGAGATCCGTCTCATTATCAATGGCAGTCTAGTTCAGACGGTCACGTACCCAAGACTAGGACTGATTACTTCTAAAGTAAGTGCAATTATTCCTGCTTAACTTGATCATTTAAAGTTACGATCATTAATCCTACTTTTTACGTTGTTCATTGTGCTGTGTCTTTAACATCTTTGTAAGGGGTTCAAATTTAATATCATTTTGCTGTCTTAATCCTAATAAATCCTCTTAAACTAACATAGATTTTATATATTACTTTCAAGAGGACGAGTTTTCCCTTTACACTGTTATTTTCATATTATGTAATATACTTATTTCTGTCCCTTTCAGTGTGATATTTACTTTGCCTCGACAGCAATGGGCTATCATTCCTCTGATAAATGCAAGGAAAAGGAGAGCGACAACAATACCCCGCCAGTTTCCCCGGGAATAGGTAATCCCAGCTTAGACTTGATTTCTTTGAATTCGACCAGGAACGGTGCAGCAAAAATATGTACATGTATAATTGGTCAAATCCTGTCATAGTATCTATGAAAATATAAAAGCACAACGTTGTCAGTATTCGAAAACTTGAATGAAGCGTTATACTCTTCATGTACGCAGTAATTATATGTTTGCTTAAATCATTTCATCAAAACTTATTCATGTAGAAGCTAGACAATATTGCTTTCAGAAAACATTGCAATGAGTTATGCAACGTATGTTTATTTCTTTTAAAAGTCCATTCAATTTGATCAGAGTAAATTTTTCCATCTGTTCCACCAGGTCGCGTGTACAACATCTTTAAGATACCTATCACCTCATTGGTGGGGAACCTGGCACCTCAAGATTGTACTACGCCCTCTCCCAATCCCACGCCGCCTCTCTTAGCTCCCGTCGTCCCAACAGAAGATGACCAGCCGCCTGTGCATCCCAGAAGTCCAAGAATTAAGAGGAGCCCGCTCTTGAGAACACGGAGGCTGGATTCGTTATCACAGATGCACGTGCTAGATGTTAGTATATTATGCCAAATGCCATGTTTGCCATGTTTGCTTAGAGGATATTACCGTGCATGTGGTTAAACAGATATTTTTGTCCTTGATATTATTAGTTCCTGTCATTTTTCCTTCCCCTCTCTCTCTCTCTCTCTCTCTCTCTCTCTCTCTCTCTCGCGTGCGGGCGCGCTCGCGCACGGGTTCAAATGTATTAATGCGCCTTTTCTTATCGAAATATTCGTTTGTTTTTATTGTTTTATTTTGTTCTGTTTTAGCCCAAAGAACGGCATTACTCCTCTGGGTCAGATTCTGGAATTGTTTCCCATTCCCCGCCTCCGCATAGCCCGATGAAGGTCTCAATATCAGTAGACTCAGAAGATAGTGAGTTTGTATGACCCTAGACAACATCCTGACAGCCTTAACCATGACGTGCAATCAATACGAGCTGTTGTTGAAGCCACATTTTGGTGCATGAATATGCACGGACATGCTCACTCATTGAAGAACAAGCCGAAGAAAGATCCCTCTCTTCAGAAATTAAAGAAAGTTACCAGCACTAAAGAAAAAAACTTACTCGCAGCAAGAAATCCACCTTTATGTTTTTTTAAGAATGCACGGTCAAACACCGATGCCCACGCGCAAATGCAACAAACTGCATGATTTTTATGACGGACGAAGCCCCAGATCTAAGGCACAGAACATGCACATTCACCAAACAAATGCACTGTAGACCACTGTTGTTGTAGTCCATACTCGTATATCACAGGAACGTTGCCTTTGTAAAAAAGACAAATGTTTTGAATAGCCGCTCTTTTAAGAGTGTCGGATATACCAATTAAGGGGTTTGTCTGGAGCATATTAACAAAAATTCCATATATCAAAGGCCTGCACACAATTATCTGAGAATATACATTTTGGAATTAGAATGTTTGCATTGTGGCTAACCTGTATTACATAACAGCAGCCAGTCAATCAAACGCAGAGGTAAAATCCAACGGAAAAGAACAAACAAAAATAAATAAATAGCAATGTCCGTTTGGAATAACAACAAGCATCGGAGTTAGACGTGAGGTTGGTTAAGTAACGAGCAGAGGTAGAGCATCCCATACGTGTACATTGATGTATACAAGAATCACGAGCCACGAGGTCGCCGAGTGTGTGTCTGGTATTGAAGACGGCACGCGTGGGAGTTTTCTTAGATGGTGCATCTATTTGATCTCACGAGTTTTTATACGCTGCCATATAAGCCCCTATGGAGTAGCTTTTGTCTGCAGTATTCGAGGGTTTAGTTTAGCCATTTGTATGGTCCGTTAGAAATTTGACAACTTCATACTTGACATGAAACTACAGTATCCAAAATTCGCATTATTTGTTATTGTATTAGATATCTGACAATGCACAGTCGACGGACATCTGGAACATTAATTTAACGTTTCAGTACACAATTCTGACAGTAATAAAGAATAGTTTGTAACTCGAGCGCGAGATTGGAGAAAGGCTAACTCATTTGATCTATTTATACTGCCTGACCTAGGCAACCGGAAGTGCATAGAACAATTCAACATCACATTTGGAACAATGTAAGATAGTTTACGTGATTAAGGAGTGTTGGTGAGGATTTTGGAACCAGGCTCCTACATGTACCCAGAAGTAAGGTGGCCATGCACTAGGTTTGCAGTTCGTCTCAAGCACTAATGCAACGGATGGATAATTTAGTATGTCTCAATTCTAAATCAATTGTAATACGCTTCTCATTTGCAATAACTCACGATTTGGGCAAGGCTGGGGACAGTGAAATATCAGACAGTTTTCCACTGCTAACATTGATGATTGGATTGAAAATCCTGAGTTCTAGCTTCATTGGACATCTGCAACAGTAACAGCAAACGCACGGTGGATATTAGAGATTCGCCATTGGGCATGCAAAAGCTAGAATGCGAAAACTCATCGACGCGCTTAGAAAAAAAAACGTCACTTGTAAGCAATTGCGAAACGGACTGTTTCGCCCCATTGTGGAATAATCTTGGTTATACCGTAGTGAATCAATCATTTGGAACGCACAGCAGCGTGTCAAGGCGCCTGTCATTTTTTCACTTTTTATCTAATGGAATATATATCTTTATCATTCATGCGTCTGCTTCAAGTGACGTGATGTGTCAATCCGCAGTATATGATATCACTGTAGTGCCAGAGTCCCATGCCTAATACACATACAGTGGCAATTTTGAAGAAGTATCGTGGTGTCGATTAATTGATACGAACGTTTTTGTACACTCTTGTTACATGTGGTTATTTATTGTAATATTATTTTAAACTATTTTCTTACATATGGTGCTAATGTTTTGCGGTTTTTTGCCATCTAATAAACATTCAGCTGAATATGAGTAAATTCTGCTTGTTGATGAGTTTTCCATCGATTTCATTTGTGTTGTTACGGCCGTTTGTCCGCTAAGAAATTTCCTTCTAGTCTTGGGCTTTAGTGTACCATTTCTTGGAAAATACCATGACCTACTTGAAACTTTGGGGATTAATAAACATAGCGTTAGGGGTTTGAAAAGGCTCCTCCGAATTTGTGTGCAACTTGGGGTGTGGCCGTCCCTGAGGGGGGTATTCTAATCTTTACATTGTATTTTCTGTATCTACAATGTGCCACTATATCAAGAGAGGTAGGAACTTGAACGGTCGGGTAATAATAAGCCTATTGTTAGGGGTCCTTTTTTAGTGTACCTTGGGGTGTGGACGTACCTGGGTGTGATTTTGCTATTTTTAACATCGAGATGTCTGTCATCTACCCTCGTATGTGCACATGTGTGCACCTGGATGGAAAAGTTACTGGTTTTTATCTCATTTTTGTTTTTGGGTCGCGGTTGCCTAGGAAGGTAAGTGAGGTGATCTTTCCCCTTGACCAGCCACCAATGTATAAACATCAGCTGCGTCTGAGTTTTAATCATTTAAAAAGATAAAATGCAGGAAAAAACATTTTAAAAGTGCTTTATTTTTTTAACGTCGTGCCGCCGTTATATGAAGTCCGATTTTTGACTCAATTGTTTAACCTTCCTAAACCGGATCAATTAAGCAATTAATGGTCTGTAGACATCATAACAAAGTTTTAAAATTAAGGATGGGTAAAAGATAATACACCCGTTTCCTTTTATTTGTGTGTGTTTTACTGTCATTCTGATTCCCAACAAAACGTTAGCGAATTACGAGAAAACACTTGACGTCTTTGTAAGCGAGAACATTGATTTCGGCTAACAATTGTCCTTAAGCACACACACATAGCCAGACAGTGAGAATTGTAAGGTTAGAACAGTATACCCTGTACATAAATGACAAAAAGGTGCAATGTTACGATGTAAGAAAGCATGTCACGGTACGGCTAAAGGACATACATGTTAAATATTAATTTTGTTTTGACACAAGGTTAAGGTTATATAAAACTGGTAAGTTGGTCATTGAGCGGCGAATCTCTGTAAACATAAGCAGAAGTAGAAATCTATTTTTGCTTTTTTTTCTTTTTTAACATATTATGTTAAACGTGGGAGGAAATGTCAAAGGGACAGTACAGGTATGAGTTATTAAAGCTCTAGCATAAAGAAATCTTCGAAATCAATAACATGCCTATTTCTATACAGCAGTTTGGATAAACAATTGGCCCCAGAGTATTTTTGTGTCGCCAGCATTATCTCATAACACGGCAATGTTTGCTCCCACATTATCTAAGCTGATAAGGAAATAGATTCAAATGCGCCGAACCTAGTTCATTTTCAGTTTAATAATGCAGCATTTTCACAACAGCCTGTTCGACATGGTGACTATTTATTCTAGTAAACTGGCCATTCCTTTTTGTCCGGGTTGCGTGAAAAGTTACAATATGGTTTTGTTATCCATGAAATGTTTCTTCTATCATAAGTGAAGTCTTCGTTCCCCAGGATGTTAACGTCTCTTGCGCTAAATAATAAGTACAAGAACCAACTTTCAAAGCAACAGTGACGTCACCGGCTGATATCCCCTGGCAAGTGCCTTGAACTGAAATTTAAAATTCGCCTATATAGACTATATAGAAGCACCAGTATACATGTATGAACAACGTGTACGTTCAATATAAACCTATAGAAACGTCTTTAAGGACATTATGTCAACGCTGAAGGTTTGAGATTCTGTGAAACGATTTCTTTAAGTCAACAAATCTGTGTCAGCATCAGTAATGTGAAGGAGACATGTATAAGCCCGCGTAAAATAGCCTGCAATAAGCAAACAAAGGTGAAACTGAATAACGGCTCTAACGAGAAATTATCAAACTATACCTGTAAATGGGCTGTTATAGTATACGACCTTATCGCTTTCATAGTATCTATTGAACTTTATACTCTCAATTTCCCCTGGGTTGCTGCATTCGTTATCGTTGAAGGTGAAGTACCATCGTGAACAGCCGTTGATGGCCTTTATTTCTTGGGCATTCCCAGACCAGAGTACCTTTAACCAACTGGCGCCGGACTTCTTACTGTACATCACAGTCTAAAATATATATCAAACAAATAGAGCACAGTCCCTCGTGAACTATGGAGAAGAGGGTCCAAGAAGAAGATGCTCTATCCTGTCCATATATTATATTATATTATATTATATTATATTATATTATATTATATTATATTATATTATATTATATCTCATCGTTCCCTACACATTATAAGGAAGACGTGCTCAACTACTGTTTCATTTTTTTTCAATCCCCCCCCCTTATCGCAACCATGGATCCGAAGTCCTTAATCAAACAATATGATCAAAGATCTTTCATGTAATACAAATGCACCTTCTGTTTTGTGATTTAATGTGGCAAATATGAATAAGAAAAGGTCTTATACTATGTAAATTTACAAAAATATTATATTGACATGTATTGAATTAAATTTAATTCTGTATCCATTGTTATAAAATACATAAATTATACCATTATTTCACTCAACAGGTGGTCATTTAATCTTTTCAAGGAGAAACATAGAAATTAATACGTAGTTATGTTACAGTAGGCCATACCAGTATTTTTATCATCCAGGTATTTTGCAAACCATTTGTGGTTAACGTTACATTACAGCACTGAGGATCCATGTTGATTCACCGTATAGATATTGATAAAAAGGGAAGTTTTACGTAATTTTAACTAATTTACATTATTTAATGCTATATAATATCTAACACCATTCTTTACTACAGGGACCTTTCAATAAAAGCGGCCGCTACCAGCCAAATTTCGAACACTATACATATGTATATCTGTGTTTGTCATTTACTTATCCTTTGCCTTGGGTTAATGAGGAGACATAAACAGAAGTATATATATTGATGCACCCTGAAAGATCTACATTATAGTTGTTAAACAACAATTATCTAACAACTATAATGTAGATTTTTCAAGGTGCATCAATATATATACTTCTATTACAGCAATGACGTTAATCTGTTATCGCCATGTTGATTATTTTAAGGCCCTACAGCCGTTTCGGCCCGGAGGCCTCATCAGTTATTATTAATAATAATTAATACAGTGACTTACGTAAAGTGTTCCAACGTTCATAATAATGTTTTGAGCTGGCCACCACCAATATTGCCGGTTAAAGATTGGGATTCGAGTAGCTGTTTTTCCCGTATGGTCTGAGACTAAGAAATAAGAGTCTATGTGAAATATTCTATAACTGGTTTAATTTGCAGAATATTTATTTATTTTAATATTTTTTTATCAATGCGGGACGTTTGTATCTTTATCAGCCGTAATTGTTATTTGGCAGAAAAAGGTAAGATAAATGTGGCAAGGTACATGTAACACCATCAAATCTAAATAAAATGTACAGGTGCAAATTCATGCTAACAGCGGTAGATCGAACGTGTGCTACACCGTATCCTCTTTCGTCTCTTTCAATCTAATAAACATACTAAAGCGACAGAAACTAGGCAAAAACACTGTCCCACTCCTTTTCCTTAAACAAGCCCTTTATTAGTAAAACAACTGTTTACTGTTTCATTCAATAAACCCCTGTTAAACCCCTCGTCTATTTTTAGAGTTTAAGTCCCCCCTTATTTCCCTCGCCAAAATCCAATCCTGGAACTGTTGGTACATGAAAGTGCGTTAATTCAACTGTCGAAATACTAGTAGTACAGAATTCCTATAAACCGACCATCATGGGGAAACCGCAACAAAACTAATACTGTATGTGATAATGTGTCACTCACGTGCACTTATATCCAAACCCAGCCGGGTTTCTTCCACCCTTATTCTTGATGGTGCATACCAGCCAGTCAACGGGTTACCATTGGTTGTGTTCCAGGGGCAGTTTCCGCAGTGGAACGATATATTAACTGCCCCTGCGGGGATTCCTTTGCAAACACCAGAAACTACAAACAAATACTTGTGAAATGTAAATTCATATAAAAAATGTAACGTCATACCTTTACTTTCTGTGGGATTCGGAGATGAGAATATTATTCAGTTTATTGATGTCACTTGCTGAAATAAACATTTGCATAGTCCAATATTGCTGTTTGTTGTTAGGTTTGCCACTTACACTCAAAAGTCTTCAAAATGATATTATGCAAGTCATTTGCCATGTACAAAGCGCCATCTATTGTACCGGGATCGGAGCACTCCGCACCATTGAACGTGAAGTACCATCTGGCACATTTTGATCCGTCTTCACGTAGACTTCCCGTCCAGTAGACTGCCAGGGCCGTGTTCGAGCTCCGTTTTAAGTATGTACTACTCTGAAATGTACGAGACAAAAAGAAACAGTCTTTATTATAGAGGCGTTTTTTTTCTTGTGTGCTTGGTATACTAAAATGAGAATTTCCATATATAAAATATAAAAGGAACGCAAGAAATTACAACACTGCATAAAAAAGGCATCGATTTAAAAGACTTATTTTTAATTTACTTTGACATTTTTTCTGACTTAATCATCATATACTCATGTCCCGGTAAATGCAAACTTAATCACATTCGGAAAACGCCGCATGGTGCTATGCAAATCTTTATTTCAGAAAATTAAAAGTGACTTTGATCATTTGAAACAACGTTTAATCTTACGTTAGGGATAAAACACTAAGTAATTTTGTTTTATAGTGCTAAACATTAAAACTGAAAGTCTCTGCAACACATAGTAATTATGTTTACTTTACTAGTTTCAGAGACCAGTGCTTATAATACATTATGAGCTCAACGTTTTTAAATAATATTTAGTAGAAGTATACATGTATGTGTATATATGGTTGTTATGATCTCAATTAGCGTATTATTAATATTATTATTATTATTATTATTATTATTACCGATGTTGCTGATATATACAGGGAGAAGTTATGAATAATGATTACCATGTAGATGTTTTCATCTTTTATGAAAATAGCCTTTACCACCACAAATTCCTTAATGTTGAAAAGTGTCAGGGTCTCACATTGCGCTGAAAAGCAGAATAGCACATGGAATTGATTGCAATTGATGGATGATACTATATATCTTATAAAAGTGAAAATTTGCATGCAATTGGGGTATTATAGAAGTATCCAATAAACTACGAAATAAACTTTATAATTCTTTGAGGCATTTCAACACAGGAAGAGCCACAAAATAACGAATTATACACAACTGCAACGTGTGGTCACTAGAACACAGACAATGTTATACTCCATCCTCCAAACACTTTACAGGTACACCACTAACTAAATTAATTATTCCTCAAAAATAAAAATAAATAAACTGTAAATAATTCCCCTGTAGTCTGTAAAAGTTATCTATGTTAGAATAAGAAATGAGTCTGCAAAAGTAAATATGTGGTTTCTAATTTAAATGCCGTTTACATGCTTTGGGAAACTAACGTCCTCCCACAAAATCTAAAATTGACAAAACTACATGACCGAAAGTCATATACCCGACTTTGCAACATGCACATAACCACCATACTGGCATTGGGTAAAAGAGATAATAACTCTTCGTATGAGATCTACATGTATATTTCACAATAAAAACATTGTAGACAACCCATAAAAATATAATATACTCTGTTTTACCACAAAAACGGCAGATAAAGCTATTATTCTAATATCTGAGTTTGTCATCAGACCACGTAACCTCCATAGAAGGCTACACTTTGTAATAATCTCTTAAGAGATTATAACATAAAACCAAATTTTTTAGAAAAAACAGGGACTAACTTTGAATGTAGAAATGGATTCGTTAACCATTGGTAAGTATGGGAAAATTGTTGTTTACTCCGGGAAAATTCATATTTTGGTCCAAACGAACAGTTATTATCCCTTTAATAGTAAACTAAACACATGTAGTCTTCAAATTATGTCTTACTTATGGCAGTAGACCCCGAAATGAAGTGCAAAAAACAACACCTTTCATATTAAGGTAAGAATCATAAAATTGCAATATTAGACAACAACCGTTAATCTAGCTGTATCTTTTCCTATATGCATCGTAGTAAATAACATATAATACAATAATGTATTTTTTATTAACTGATTACTTGATTTTAGAGAGAGATTGCACAGGTGATTTATCTCTATAATTATGCCCCTAAACAACGAATCCGTTTGGTCAAATACCATGATAACTCAGATACTAACATTGTCCAGGATTTGCTTTTATTTCCTCGAATTTGAAGTAGGAGAATGCTTTCCAACCGAGGTATGCTTCTGAATCCCCACTTATGTTCCTTACATATATCTGAATGGTGACAATGCCAGCTGGAACATCCCAACAGATGCCAGACACTAGAAACAAATGTTGGTCAAAAACAATTTATATAAAACACGTAGTAGCAAACGTATAGCGTTTTGCTGGTTATAGGTGTGTGTGTGTGTGTGTGTGTGTGTGTGTGTGTTTTATTGTATGATGACGAGAGGCATTGTTTCTATTCTGATCGCTTATAAAGGTTAATGAATAAAATGGAACAAATGAAACTATAATGATTAATTAAAAATCGAACGAGTCAAAAAAAGTTATACTGTAGCCAAATATAATTCGTACGCAGAACCTTTTAATTAATTGTATGTCCAAAAACACAACTGTTTTTTTTCAAAATCTTCCAGATAAAATAAATTCAACGGCTGACGACAATGAATCTGATTTTTAGACAAATGAATATTTATCTATGAATGTTTTATGACTGAACTATAGATTTAATTGAGTAGACAAAGACTAAATTTCAAAATTCTAACTTAAATTATCCTCATTGATGTTTCAAAAAATATATATATATATCCAAGGGGTGGTTTTTAATCTGAGCGACCTTTATCTGTTGCAAAACACTGGTATCAAATGTATCAATTTAAAATGAATCAGAAGCGACGTGAGTTATTCTTTGCAATGTTACTGAAATATACTAAATATTTTAGAATATTATAGCTTATTTTGACTCTGGTGCATACGTTATCATGACAGTATGAACATAACATTTATAATTTAATGTGGCATGACAAAACCTAAATGAAGATTAGTGCAATATAGAATGACATTAAAATGCATGAACTAGTGTAACATGTAAATTACATAACAAATGCATAACAAAATAACATTCACAATGGCAAGAAACGATAATATAATAAATTTACATTAACATTGCATTATGATGGCACAAAAATGCCCCCACACTTACGTGATCCATGTTCGATTCTGTTGCGTCTCGTAGTGTGACGTTCCGTAAATGCTATACTGTAAGGACTTGTGCAACTTGCACCGTTTATAAGAAAGTAGACCATAGAACCACAACTTTTGCAAGCAAAAGCGGTTCGTATTGATCCGCTAAATTCGACTCTCAATCCGGTACTGTCCTGTAGCTTGTTGTAAGTGAAATTCTGTAATTATATACCGGTAAGTCCACGCATGCATGTACTCATTTCGGCTAATTTTTGGTTAATTTTACTATAACACACGTAATGGTATAAAAGCGCAATTTCATCATATATGTGGTTAATACATGTAAGTTAATTTCATCTACAGATCAAATTAAAAAAAAACGTGTCAATGAAAATCTCCTAAAAATTACATACAGCTGAGGAAAATGTAATCATACAGAAAATAGCAGTTTGGATGGGAGCCTGGTGCTGTTTCAAATATTTCCAATACTGAAATTTTGAGGTTGTCCCTTAGTGGGAAAATGTCCCTGTGTTTACTCACTGGTCCGCCTCCCGTCACCGCACCAAACCCTCCACCCCAACCAGCGTAAACGATATTGGAAACTGGAGTCTCATCACAGAAAGCTGAACTCCCTATTACAAAAAGTATTATGGTTATAATTTTGCATAAAACACTCGCCGGTTCAGTTCGCAAGGAGCTTTATTTTACATGCGTATGTAAACGACTGCTGTCTACCAAAAGGTAGCGGTATATATCTAGTTGGTTCCCAGCTGGCATACATTGTGTGTGTGTGTGTGTGTGTGTGTGTGTACAATACTTCATCAAATTTAACTTCTACTTATTTATCTTGAGTGATATTAGACTAAACCTTTTATAATTTGGTCTGAAGTTAAGATTAAGTTCCAGATTTACATTACTTTACTTAGTCGAGTGTTTTATAGCCGTTATACAAACCTACGCAGACCGGCTCTCCCGTAGTGCAATCTACCCGACATCGAGACCCCGCACTGCACTTCACAGTAGAACATACTTCTTCATATCCATTTCTGGGCTGCAGAGACGAGAGTAGTAAGAGAAGAGTTTTTCTAACTGCAACCTTGAAGGTACTTTTAATGCAATTTTAAGTGACCCCTGAAGCGTAAATGAGGGACGTGATGCTTTGCAAGCAAATTTTAATGACAACTATTTTATTACATAAAACGTAGCATAAAGGAGGAGGTTTTTGGTATGGCTTTTCTTATGTTATTGTATAGTGAGCAAAAAAGCATAAGTGAGGGACATGATTAAAAGTATATCGTCCCTCCAAGGTTGTAGGTCGAAAAACTCCTCTCTTACTACTGATGAGCGTACATATGAGTTATTGACAATTTTCAGTGAGTTTTAGGTGATTGTTTTAAATCTGTACCTTGTTAGGACTACAGGTTGATTTCTAAATAGCTACTCACAAATATCCCTCTGACTAAATCGCGTTTTTAAACTGTGCCCAGCGAGAAATTATGAAGGAAACTTTGTCTTAACTCGATTGGTCCCTGGTATAAAATATACAACATCCCATATTAAACTGATAAAAATTGCTATTCGCCTGGCTCAAAAGACGACGGATACTAATTTGAATATATATAGTCAATTGTTGAAAAGCGAAGAAAACAGAAAGTTGATATAGAAGTATGCAAAAACACGTTTATGTCATTCAACTAATGAGTTAAGCCAAAGTAATACATTCCCTGTGGGATGTTACGCTTTTTGGTTTTGAAGATTGCCAGACAAGGGACTGAAGCAGACAGAATATATCCACGGATATTTTCCTGGTTGCTTTCTCTTTTAAAGTTTTTAAAAATTACATTTATGCTGGCTTTTGGTGAGATTTTAAAAAAGGGAGACCACTACGATGGTCCACTATGTTGGCTTTAAATGAAAGTAAGCCTTAGTTGATATGGTTTACATCAAGGTTCAAGGCAAATAGGAAAAAATTGCACCATTTTCATAGGAGGCGTTCTTATAAAACCATCTACATGTAGTTCTGTAAAAGATCTGGTAGTTACCCTCGATGAAAATGGGAAAGGTGTATCTGAAGTGTGTAAATCAGCATCTTATGCACTATGGCGCATTGGAAAAATAAGGAAAGTGTTAAATAACAAAACCACTGAAAAATTAGTACATGTATTTATATCATCAATATTAGAATACTGCAAAAGTCTCCTCTTTGGTATATGTGACTATCAGATTAAAAAATTGCAAGTTATTCAGTTATTCATATTATTTACCACTTTTATGCAGATGATACCCAGTTGTGCACAGCTTGCAACATCCATGATCCAGCCTTGTCTGTGAACACCATTGTTGACTGCATATCAGATCACAGAGGTTGGTTCATTTCAAACAAATTGAAGATAAATGATGGAAAAATAATGTTTTAAGTCATTTCTCAACCCCACAACAAGGGCCTTGCTCACAACCTGCAACTTAAAATTGGAGCTAGTATGGCATTATCCTCCCCCCATGTAAAAAATTTAGGAGTATATTTTGATTCTACACTTCCAATAGACAAACAGATCTCCAACATTACAAGGTCTTGTTTATTCGGCATTCGGAATATTGGCACCATAAAGAAATATCTGAATCAATCATCTGCTACTACTGTTATACACTCATTGGTAACTTCCAGGCTGGACTATTACAATTCTGTATTATATGGATGTCCAGATGGTAAGATCAAAAGATTACAACGGCTCAAGAATATCTCAGCACTCACACATATAGCTCACACATATAACTCCAATTTTAAAGCAGTTACACTGGTTAACAGTTAGGGTCAGATTTTTATTTAAGGTTTTAGTTTTTACACATGCTGCTTTTTATAACCTAGCTCCACCATAATCTCCACCATGATCTGGTCAAACATTATAGTCCTCAAAGATCCCTGAGGTCTGGTGACAAACTTTTACTGAAAGTTCCCAAATCAAAGTTAAAAACATATGGTGACATAGCATTTTGTGCAGCTGCACCGGTTGAATGGAATAAGCTACCAGTTTTTATTAGATGAATAGAAGCACAAGAATCTTTAGAAAGGAATTGAAAACTCACATTTTTAAGACATTTTATTCATGAATTTTAAAATTTTGCATTAAAGAAACCTTGGATTTTTTACTTTTAATTACTGTTTAGTACAATTCAGTCTAGCTCTGATTTATATAATATATATCTTAATCATTTTGATCTATAAACGTCTTTGTATTTTATGTTGTACAGTCTATTGAACATTTTATGGATTTTAGACTCGAAATAAATATATTATTATTATTATTATTATTAAAACTCAGCTGCAAGACTGGTTTGTCAAATAAAGTGCAATAAGCACACACCATATCATTCCCATTCTGAAAGGATTACACTGGTTGCCAGTGAAGCAGAGGATTGATAATAAAGCACTTTGTATTATTTTTAAGGCGATCCATACACAGAGACAAAATTTATTTATTTATCGTTGCAGAATTTATTTATCTTATCTGTTTTGACTCACCAAGGCGGTCCCCACGTTTTCATGCTGAGAATGACCTTATTTTAGAACATTCTATTTGGAAAAGCCCTATCAAAAGTTATGGTGATAGGGCTTTTCCAATCTACGTGTGGAATGCGTTACCAAATTCTATTAGTACAGCAGAATACTTTGACAGTTTTAAATCCCTTCTAAAGACCCATATGTCTATTGCTCTTAGATTTTTTTTAATATATTTTAATAAGATCGAGTTTTCAGTAGTGTTAATTTTAAATGGTTTCTGATGAGTCCTTTAGATTTTAATATTGTAGTAATATTAGTGATTTTAGTAATATTATCCATTATTTTAAAACGCCTTGAGGTAATATGTAAGGCGCCATATAAGAAGTACAGCAGAATACTTTGACAGTTTTAAATCCCTTCTAAAGACCCATATGTCTATTGCTCTTAGATTTTTTAAAATATATTTTAATAAGATCGAGTTTTCAGTAGTGTTAATTTTAAATGGTTTCTGATGAGTCCTTTAGATTTTAATATTGTAGTAATATTAGTGATTTTAGTAATATTATCCATTATTTTAAAACGCCTTGAGGTAATATGTAAGGCGCCATATAAGAAGCTTATCACTAAATATTATAGTACGACTGAGCTGGTGAAAAACAGGCCGATTTATTATCGATATTAAAGTGTTATCAAATATCATATTAAGCAATAAGTCAATGCAGCAACCAATGCATAACTTAAGTAACATTGCAGAATAACAGAATTCTGATACATAACAGTGGCTGATTTAGAGGGGGGCAGGGGGGTCCTGACCCCCCCCCCCTCCTTTTTGGTTTCTGAATAAATCGCACTAATATTCCACTTTTGAAATTAGATTTTAACTAGCTGTTTTATAGTTCTTAACCGTTCCAAATGGCACCGTTTGACCTTCAAAACTCTAAAATATGTTGGGACCCTTTAGCAGGCCCCAAACCCCACCACAAAGGGGCCGAGGGGCGGCTTTGAATCCGAGGCCGATCATTCGTAAAAACACTGTCCCTCCCCCCCTTCCCCTTCAAATCCTGAATCTGCCCCTGTATATCACGTTCTGCAGAAAAAAATGTGTCTGCTTTGCAGAATTATTTGTCAAATATGTTTTCTCAAAATGGCTTATACACGTTAGAACGTTTTAAAATGATTCCTTCTTCTTACAGGGGCTTGCTCAAACCAAAACCGTCCCAGTGTTGGCCGCCTCTGATCCAGTTGTGCTGTTTAACGTCCCAAACTAAACCTCAGCACGAAACGAGGGCTCGTGTACATCGTGAACTTCAACGCTGATGATAAGACCATGTTCGGGGACCTGCTTTGCGTGAGATGAAATGCATCTGTACGGCACCCGGGCTTTCGATTGTAAGTGCAGAGCATGTACAACCAAACTGGCCCTCTGCGTGACAAGGTAGAAGGTTTCCATATTTGATCTAAGATCTACCAACGACGCTTCTGCGACTCCTTGGTAATTCCACTGTCTTAAACACAGCTATACCCTTGTACGTGTGTTCGAATGCTAGAGTTTTTAATGCAGTGTTATTGCTAGATATGATTTATAAAATGTGCACCTTATTACTATAAGAAGTAAAACGTAATTGGCGGGAGGATGGCTAAGGCACAGCACTGTCGTTGGCGTGCGCAACTGCAAAAAAATAATAATAATAAAAATAAAAATAATAAAAAAGTTGTCATCAACCATGGTAGCGGAGAGTCACGAGTGCGAGTCCCGGATAACACGTCAGTTCGTTACAGCAACAACCTGGCCCCGCACTCGGGAAGTCACGGGGGAAAAGCCGGTATAGTTAAGAATAAGTGATCGATTTGACAACAACTTATATCTGGTCATTATCTTAAAGTCTTCCTTTCTCTTCACTATTGAAGTCTTTAAAATGATCCTTAGGCGGGGTGGTCATAGTTCTCTATCCTTTACCGTCTACGCCACAGATCAAACTTGAATGGAATCAATAGCTAATCTGGCATGGCGACATGCATGTCATACTGCACTTTCAACAAGGGTTTTTTGTTTCACAAGTCACGTCGCCTCTATTGCTTTACCCAAACATGTTGTTTTTTTTTTCACGCCCACCCCCCTTGGGTCCCTGCTTATCGAGACTGTTCACATGAGCATACAGTGCTTGGGGCAACCCTACAGTCGATATTTCAAATGGCAAAGACTACTCAAAACTTAGAAGGTGTGAATCGCTTTGGCTCTCATCGTGCTCTATTTGTATAACGTCACGGGTGAAGCCAAAATCAGTGTAGTCTCAGTAATCGCAGTGTGAAACAAATGAAAGTAGTCATCTAACTAGGAACGTTCCGGGCAGACTTATCAATAAAAGCGACCAATCTGAGCTTTCCCGCCTTAACACCACACCATACAGTGGCGGATTTAGAGGGTTCTGAAGAAAATATCACATTAATTTTCTTCCCTTGAAATTAGAATTTTGACTAGCTGAATCATAGTTCTCACCCGTTCCAAGTGGCGCCGTTCGCCCTCTAAAATACCTTCTTTTTTTTTTCGTCTCTTCAGCGGGTCCTGGACCCCACGCCAATGGGGGAGGGGGGTCGACTTCGCATCCGCGGACGCCCCCCACCCCACCCTCCCCCACTCCCTTCAAAAAATCCTGGTCCCGCCCTGCCATAGTAAAAAAGGGGGATCCATCTATCTAGGAACGCTCCGTGTCGGCTTCCCAAATAAGTGCTCGTGTACATAATGAACTTTAACAACGTTGATGATAATACCATGTTCGCAGACTGGCGATGCGATGGATGAAATGCATATGTTCAGGTCACGGCCTATTGATTGTTATGGCAGATATATGCATGTACAGCCAAACTGGCCATCTCTGTGAGAAAGGAAAAGTTTTCATTTGATCCATGTCTGTCCAACGAAGCTTCTATTGCTCTGTGGTAACTCCGTTGTCTACCATCTAAACACCTGTAGGCGGGTTCGACTCTCAAAATTTTCGGTGTGATTTTTTTTCAAAATAATTTCTAAAATTGAGTTTGATTACTATAAGAGGAAACTCGTATGCACGGAGGGCGGGCGGACAGTCACGGCGCAGGCGGTAGCGTGCTTGGTTGCACAAAAAATACCAAAAAAAAAATACCAAAAAAATACTAAGCCATCAACAATCCATGGTAACGGCGAGTCACGAGTTAAAATCCCAGATGACGCATGTCAGTTCACCACAACAACGAGCTGGCCCCGCAATCGCAAAGGGCATGCAACCTCCCGTGTATCTGAGCAAATTACCTTCTGCATTAAAATCCGGTATAGTTTAGAATTAGTGATCGATTTTGACAACAATTTATTGCTCGTCATTATCATAAAGTCTGCGTCGTCGATTATATTTCTTTTGTCTTTGCTTTAACGTCTTTAGAATGATACTTAGGCGGGGAAGGTCAGTGATCGCTATTCTTTACCAACTACGCAACAGATCAAAATTGAATTGAGTCAACACCTTACTCGACATGGCGTCATGAATGTCATACGGCCTTTTCATAAAAAAAAAGCTATCTGCTCGTTGGGATTATCAGCAAGAAAAGTTTTTCTTTTCAAAAGTTACATTGCCGCTATTATTGCTTTACCTAATCATACATTTTGCCGCTTTGGCTCTCATCGTGCTTTATAAAGTCGTAGGCAGTGACAGATTTAGAGGGGGTGTCGGGGGGGGGGGGAGGGGTCCTGACCCCCCACCCTTAGGTTTCTGAAAAAACACACTAATATTCCCCTCTTGGAAGTAGTATTTTTACTAGCTGATTTATAGTACTAAACCGTACCAAATGGCACCGTTCGCCCTCTAAAATACCAACAATTTTCGGGGCCCTTTAGCAAGCCCCGAACCCGACGCCAACCGGGGAGGGGGTGGGGATCGGTTGGCGTCGCATCAGCGGACATCCCCTTTCAAGAAATCCTTGATCCGCCGCTGCATAAGAATATATAATCAGAATCATATATATAATATTTTATATAATTAAACCTGTACCACAAATTAAACAATAAGCGGGGTGAACTATGGTACCGTCCCAGCAGACATAGTCACGTTGGATCAACGTTGAAAACAGGTTGATACGTTGAATTGCCGTTGATCTACCTAAATTCAACGTAAAATCACCGTTGATCCAGCCACGTGAATACACCGTCATAATATGTGACGTTGACTCAACGTTGTATTTTGGTCATTGACACAACCTTGCAGACATGGATTGTAATTTAAAATATTAATTATTAAAAACGTGACACTTTGTTTATCAATACTGTAACTAACTTTATCAAAATAATAAAAAAGTGTTTTAAAGTAAAAGTGACAGTTGTTTTGTGTCTTTAGTGAACTAGTGATTTTTCTTAATTTGTTATTCAGAAATACATTCCAATAAACTTCCTTGCAAGGTCAGCTAACACTAGGATGAATAAGTTGCTGTAAATATGATGGCGTGAAGTTAATAAAGTTGACAGTTCTCGGTGCCCTGTTGAGGTGACTATGGCTTTGTTATATATATATATATATATATATATATAGAGAGAGAGAGAGAGAGA